TTCTTTCTTGAAATTTGATAATGAGTGCCTTGGAATCATGCCAAGCAAAATGACGCATTTCCAGACAGTGGATCATCATTTGTGCCCGAAAGGATAGCCCGAACCACTGCAAGGAGGTGAAAATTTAGATCCTGATACACCATAGTATCATACATGCACTTTGTTTCACCACAAAGTAACCATGAATAACCGGCCAAGAGTAGCATGCATTACCAAAGAGATGATGCCTCTGGGCGAGTGTTATTACAAGTTGACACCAAGCTACTTTGCAAAGACGAACGAACCAGCAAAATTCTGCAATTCAACTGCAATTTAAAGCTGTCCCTAGTAACTCACGGATGATATCGAAAGTTCCCATAAAGCCTGGTATGTAGCCTCATTGAAAAGTTTTGATTTGTGACACCTGTTTGAACCCAGACCCTTTCGTTGAAGAAGTTGCAGAATCCACAACCAGCAACATTTGAAGCAAACTGTACACGAAGTCTGTGATGTGATAATCAGAAGTTCCACACACACAAGTACTTTCACCCAGCTACGGCAGTGTTACAGAGTATGAGTGATGCCCACAACTTTGCATGCTTCACAGTATTATCGGCATAGCTGGTGCTCTAAAAGCACGCCAACCAAAGCAGCCTAGTTTACACACGTACAGGAACGAGGTAGCCAGGGGGCCTGAATTGCAAAGATATGAAGAGCATACTTGACACAACGATGACAAAACCAAAACAAAATGCTTTATTCATAATAAATGCTGCCTTAGCTTTTTAAACTCTTCTGTTCAAGTGGTTTGCTTCCTTTTGATAATTCTGCCACCTGCTTACCATCGTTAGTACTAGTATACCATGACTAGAGTTAATTCAGCATATACTAAACACACATTGAGGCTCCAGCCAAGCTTCCTGCACTTGTTTCTTCGACAAGCAATTTCAGAGATAAAAATGTGCGGTCTTCCTTTAGGCTAAGCCTTTTGCTTCTACTTGTAAAGCTCCTGAGGCCATTACGCAGATGCCTTCAAATGTAGACAGCTTCCACGTCTTGCTGTGAAATTGGTAGTTCGGTACGCCAAGGCCACTTGGAAGTGTTGAGGCCTCTCTTTGCCTCCTGCCCCTCCTATCAATACAAAGGCACTAACTGTGAAATAATTACTCCACTTACAGCCAAAGCAGAAAGACCAGCTCATCCCCATGAATCAAACTACATGGCTACTGAGGACGTAAATCAACGAAGGATCTTCGTTCCCGATGGCACTTTCAGAGACTCGACCACCAACCCTATAGTAATTCTTAATTTTCCATACACAAAATTATATATATACATACAAAAAAAAGAAGTCATGACAACACAACTCCATTGTATAGTCAATGGGCAGCAGCTGTAACACGTAAGAAAACTGTAATGACTTCAGAGCCCCGATATCTCTTCAGATACCATTGCTGCACATTGATAATTTGTACGATGGCTACACGTGGAACAGCCTGATGCTAGCAGTATATGCTATACAAACAGCGTCCATGCATGCATACAGCGCAAAATTTTGCAAAAGCGCATTTGAAACGTGTAGTGAACTGACATTCGTTTTTCAAAATGAAGATTCCTTCAATCAACGAAGTCCCAGCAGGTGGATGCATCAGAGTCCCCACTGCCAGCTGTGCCTTGCTAAGCTTTTCAAAGCATTTGAATAATGCAGTACAGCATTGTTTAAGAAAAGTTTAAATGGGAAAGAAACTGAGCACTTTTGTTTCTTTTACAAGTTTGAAAACTACAGTGCATCTTGAAAGTACTGTTGAACAGACAGACCACATGTGCGAGAGAAGACTAGGGCATGCTACAGTCGTGCACCATTTGCACATGCAACATTTGCAGAGCCAGGGAGGCTGCGAGACTGGCTTACATCACACAACACTTGCTGTAAGGCACCACTAAAACAGATCCACTAGTTTGCATAAACAGAGCCTAGTGTTTGTAGATAAAGCACTTTTACAGACCTCTACGTCGATAGAACATGACACACCGTCACAGAAAGCATATATGTGCCGAATTAAGACTATGACCAATGTGTAGATTATGCTACTACAAGACGAAAAGCTTGATGTTGATGTGCACTGCTTGCATGGTGGTTCGCCCACCACTACGATACTGGCCAATACAAGGACTTGTCTAAGGACTTGTGCAATGCAAAGAGAGTCTTTGTGCGTCTCACATACCTATGTACATTTACGAGTTTACAGAGACATGACATGGCCAAACAGTTCAAAATGTTACACTAGCACATGAAAATGCACGCTTTTGTACCAGTTTTCCCAAGTCTGTCCTAACAATGTAAAAGTTATGCAGTCACACACACCAGCTGTGAGAGTGAGAATGCCAAGAATAACATGTGCACAAGATCTACACACTGAACATTTGATATTGACCCATAGGGGCAAAACCTGCAAAAATCTATTTTTTAAATCTAACTCTGATGTAGGTTTTAAATTTTTTTTTCCCACACGCACCTTGCCAATATACTGATGTCCTGGCAGGCAACTCTAATGAAATAAAATACCAAAGTAAACTATGGACCACTATTTTTTTTCGTAGCATCTTTGTTTCACAGTAGTGAACACAGCATGTGAAAAATGTGCAAGCGAATTGTTAAACGTCCTTGCCTAATCACTTTTTAGAAAATGAAACAAGCATGGGGACATGTAACACATCAGCGAAATGTTTCAACCACTGAATAGTTAGCCAGCACATTATGTTTCAGTATCTGAAAATAAACACAAAAAGCTGCATCCATCCATGCAAGGCACTTGTGATATTGCACGGCACTTCTTATGCACGCTGCCTGTAATGCACCCATCAATATACAAGCTATGAACAACACGCAAACACGCACCAGAAACTCGAATGCCCTACGCATCATGACACGGCCTTGAGAATATCAAGCCTTGTGGCCTCGTTTATTACCCATTTTCAAGTAAGGCAAGAGGCAACTCTTGTCTGAGAGATACCCTATCTTACAGTATCAATATTGTCGGGAGTGATCATCGATGTGAGAGGCGAAAGCTGTGGTGCATATTTGCCATACCATACCACATTATATTACTGTATAAAAAACAGACAATAAATGTTGTACACCAGTTTTTGACAGAAGCCAGTCTTTAGCTCTTTTTTCAATTCCTTAGCTTCTCTACAGATGAATTTGGCAGTAGTGAATTGCGCAGTATAGACCACAAATGCTGGGTTGAACTGCGTAAATTTACTGTCTTTGCATAAGTATGGATGACTGAGGCACAAAATCGTGAAAAAGGGAAAAAAAGAAAGAACAGCACCTCCAGGGACTCTAGGCAAGAGCACCAAAGAAACAGATAGAGCGCTCATGGAAGCATTCTTCATGAGAATGAAGGTCTAACTGTATCAGTGACACGTCTATAACGTTGTATTGGACAGAGATGCCCTTTCTCGATAGCTTGTCTTAAACATATTGGTATTTAGAGCCCGTAAAAATACAGGCAGCGAAAGACAAGAGTTAGACAGACGAGCACTCTCTTAAAACTGAGGTTTCAGCAGTTTTATCCTACACCGAACATGGAAACACATTCGTGAAACTACAACCTAAAAAAAACAACAGGAGGACAGCTATCACCTCAGAGTTAAAAAAACGCAAAAAAAACCCACGTGCCTCCTAAGGTGACAGCTGCCCTGCTGTTTTTTTTTTTAATTGCAGTTTCACGCATGCGTTTCTGTGTTCGGTGTAGGATAAAACCTGTCCTTTTCTGTGAATAAGCTTTAGTTCTAAGAGAGCGCTCGTCTGTCTAACTTTGTCTTTCGTTTCTTACCCTTTTTCAGGCTCTAAATACCACTATGTTCAAGTACAAACTTGCCCAAATTTCAGTGTTTTTAAAGCTTGTTTGGCCATGTTGCTGTCTGTCATTTGTTGCCTGTTCACGCATGTGCAAAAATGTCCTTCTTCCCGCGCGGTTCTCAGAGACTTGTTGAACAGTTGCAGGCGCATAGTCAGGAATTTTTATCTAGGGGGGGGTGGGGGGGGGGTACCACCTGGATTTCGGGAGGGGCACCACCTTAAGTGGCCATTTTTCGCTCTCTATGCCATGGCGAAAAAAAAGTTTCAGGAGGTGGGGCACGTGCTTGGTGTGCCACCCCCTGGCTGCGCCCCTAACAGTTGGCAGTTGATGCTGCTCTCTTTTTTTCTGCTCCTCCTTTTTGCACTACACGTTTTTCGTGCCTCAGTCATCTGTACCTAAGCAAATTAAGCACCAAATCGCCCAAAAATAAGTCCTTTTGGAATATCTTACTGTCCTTGCAATCTGTCGTGTTCATATAAATACAAAGAAGAACAAACTAAGATGAGTTTCCAGCACTGGCCAAACTAATGTACACTAAACAGTGCTAAGAAAAACAGCTTTCAAGGTTAAACACAAGCGGTGAATGCGATTCTCACACATTTCATGATATGACGGCTGTTCATAAATGCAAGCATCGGCAATAAATGAGTTCACACAGAACCATTAGTGTTGACAGAAAGTGCAATCATTATAAATAAAGCAATTTTTTACACCTTTGCTTAGTTCATGGCACTTAGAATAAAAAAAGGAGCTTATGGCCCCACTCTTCTTAATGCTTTGGTCAATAAGCTTCGGATGCCCATATGTGGCTACAATTTTCTCAAAATAAGTAAACTCTTAAAGATATTGATATGGGGTACTAGTGTGGCCAATTACAGGTACATATAGGCTGTTCTACTGATTAGCACAAATATATGAAAAATAAAGTCCCTAGCTTTGCATCAGCAAGTGTGACACCAACTGTCATTTGCTGTGCCAACAAGGAAGATAAATAGTATGTGCAACTACAGTAGACTCAGTTAACAAAAAAACAGTTAAACGGGACTGCTGCTTAAATGGAACTACTGCCTCTAATATCAACTTCATACTTGGATTCTGCACCCCTGTTCTCTCAGTGAATTCCTGCTAAATGGAACACATTTTCCTAGTCCCTTCAGGTTCTCTTCAACTAGAATCTAATGCACTCACAAAACATTGCAAGTTGCAAGATTATAGCAATGAAAATTTCAACGGCTGTCCCAGGACATACTTATGCTACTTAACTGTCACCAATACTTATGGTATAGCAGGCCCACGAAAACATAAGAATGCCACCTCTTGAATGACGTCTAATATTCAATATCTGCTAGCCAAACTATTTTGTTGTCTTTTTTTTTTAAATCACATCTGCTAGCCAAACTATTTTGTTGGCTTTTTTTTAAAATCACAAAGCAACCAAATAAAATGATTCGACTCAAGACGGTGCAGAACCTTTTACAGCGCAGCGTGGAATCGATGCTAAAAAAGTATTCGCTAAAATATAACCGGTTCTTACCAGATACCTTAAAATGTTCGGGCCTGAAATGGTTTCGATGAATGCAAGTCCATTGAAAGCTTTTACTGTGAATAGATGCACTTTTTGGAATTTCTTGCCGTGTTGAAGTAGGCAGATGTTTTAGTGACAAGTGCCTTAAATTTTTACACATTGCTCAAGTTTGCCTGTACCTGCAATGTACCTCAAGAATTACATATTTCTGCTTGGTACTTTCCAAGTGCTTACTAAGTAAATAATCGAACAAATGCAGACTGCAAATTTAGGCTCAGCAGTCCCTGTGACAGGCTTTGCACAGTCAAACGCTAATGTTCCTTACAAGCGTAGCTTGAGGCTCACGAGGCATAAAAAGAAATGGCAGTGCTGTAACCCCTAGAACGAAAATTTTATCTACAAGTATTTGTGCAAAACCTGCTTGTGCGCACGATGAGAAACAAACAAAAAGTTTATGTCTTACTCTCAAGTGGTTGTGGCAGTTGAGTTCTCTACGAACAGCCCACAAATGCACTTGAACACAAACATACCATGCGAACACTTCTGTGACCTGTTGCGATAGTTTGAGAGCTTGCATCTAGAAGCCAACGCAAAAACATGCACACACAATAAAACAATAGGTGCTTTTCTTTTTGTTCAGGCACTCTCTGCCATAATAGCCTATGCCTCTCTTCAGTGCAAACGACAGACCAAAACTTTGTGCATCCAAAAAAAAAAGCACATTATCCTAGCTTGGTTGTGCCCTGGCTTCAAAAATGAAAATAAAAAAATATGGCAATTACTTATCAAACAACGCTTTAAAGACAAGACATCTTTGCAGCAATGCACAACCGTAACGCAGGCATGTATGTGGTCAAAAGATGACTAAACTCCGTTCACTTACAATGCACAAGCACCGCCAGTGCTGCTACCCTACATAGTCAGATCTTAAAAAAAAGTGTGGATGTGACCGGCCCCAAGTGCTACGCACCACATCACAACACAACACTTTCATGACAAGAGCAGAGTGGGTTGCTTTCTGCCATACGGCGAGTGTTCCAGAGTGCAGCGTCAGTAGCCTTCCACGGTCTGGACCATGACCGTACAATTGCTCGAGGCATTCTAACGACGACTCACAAGCATGTAGCAGTTGGTAAGGAGTGGAGCACTGCAACATAACACTCCAGGCGAGTCAACACTTCAAAAACTTTGTGCACCACAGTACACATGAACAGATGAGCAACGCACCAGTTCAAAGCCACGGGTCATCCCCTTCGGCAACTGCAAGCACGATGGCGCGAAAACTGTCAAAGGCACAACCCCACCATCGCACCTCAGAGTCTGCCGAGGAAACATAGCCTGCCCCCTTCCCCACCTTTCCACGTGGCTTTCAAGGATCTGGCCACAGATGGCTTGCTACACAGGTTGCCCGTGGACGCGCAGCCGGTAGAGGCACGTGTACTCCAGATTTCCATGGTTGCTCAGGATCTTCATTTCCACGTACTCATACACTGCTTGCTTGGCATCCTAGATAAACAAAGGACAATTTGCGGAAATTAAACAACTCCATTTATTAGGACAGAAACAGAGTGAGCCAACAAAATGGCACACGAAGATGAAAGGGCGTTTATCGCTGCTTTGGTACAGGTATGTACCGTCTATGTATTATCTGTAGGGGTGTGCGAATATTTAAAGAATTGTTTTCTTAATATTTTTTGAATATTGTTTGCTATTAGAAATTCATTGAAGATTTACTATTCTAACCATTCAAACTTCCCAAAGACAGTCCATGTGCGAATTGCCGCAGTCCCTTCACTGTATATGCTTATCTATGAATATATATTTTATATATTTGGTTTTATGTTCATGCTTATTCACTTTATTATTGTTGTTATGCTGTACCGAACTAATATCATTATAGCTGTAATTTATGTTTACACCCAAACATGTAAATAAGACCAACATATATATGTTGATGTTCTTTTCATTTCTTGCAGGTGTCTGCTGTTGCCTGCTGCACTTGTGGTGCCAGGAGCCTAGTTAGACGTGTAATAACATGCCTTTTGCTCCGGTGCCATGACAATGCATGTTTTATGTTTTGTCAAAACCGCAAATAAACTTCAAACCCTCATATTCCAGAAAGCTGCCTTTCAGGTTCTAACAAGCAATCGGATTTCAAGGAAGCTTCGATCAAGCTTCGAGTGAGGGAAACATTCCTGTAGCGGGAACGTCAATCTGAATTTGTATTCAGAGTGCCCAGATATGAGCACACTTTCGCACTTCCCGTTAGGGTCTCAAATTTCAATGCACGACAGTGGTGAAAGGCTTTCGTTCTTTCAAAAGTAGCTAGCGTTGCTAATTCAACAAACAAAGCATGTTCTCACTGAAAGACGAAGGCTTGGAGATAGAAAAGCGCACAAGTGCTGTCTGCTCTGTGCATCTGTTTGAAATGCGTAATGTCAGGTGACACGTTCGATGAATCTGCTTAGCTCTGCTTTTGCTTTGCTTTTTTGCACAATAAGCCTGATGATACGGCGCTCCTGTGGTTTTCTTTCCGAAGCCATCTTTCAGTGCTGCACCAACCATCTCATCATTCAAACTGTCTAAACTTTCCATATTATTGCAAATGAGGCATTTATTTGATGACCCCACAACTCAAAGGGCAATGTCACAGTGAAAATGCCACCGGCTTTCCACTCACCTGAACGATGAAGTACTGGAGGGTGTCACCCTCTGCGTCGTACGCGTAGGTTCCCAGAAGTCGCCCTGCTGAGTCCGTCTCCGAGTCAAGACCCTGGAAGACGTGCAACTTAGATGTGATTCCGGTTCAAAGCATGTAATGCCTCTCCAAGCTATAACACAATAGCCTTGTTATTGAACTCTGGCGATTTAGGAACCTCCAGCTATCAAAAAGTTTCTGTTTTATCAAGCATAAACAGAGCCCTCACACAAGATGAAGGCTTCCTTCCTTCTTCCATCACAAATAACCAGGCTTGTGCCGATAGTGAATTTCAGCTTCAAAGCACATTCGAAACAAATGGTGATTTGGTTGAATAATTGCTAATGAAACTTGAATTCTCTGTATCACATATTATAAGCCCCGCCGCGGTGGTCTAGTGGCTAAGGTACTCGGTTGCTGACCCGCAGGTCGCGGGTTCAAATCCCGGCTGCGGCGGCTGCATTTCTGATGGAGGCGGAAATGTCGTAGGCCCATGTGCTCAGATTTTGGTGCACGTTAAAGAACCCCAGGTGGTCGAAATTTCCGGAGCCCTCCACTACGGCGTCTCTCATAATCATATGGTGGTTTTGGGACTTCAAACCCCACAAATCAATCAATCAATCAATCAATCAATCACATATTATGAAGAAAAATGAAGACATTTGCAATCATCCTGCACACAATTTTTTTTTAAAATTGAAAGAAAGCCTGTGAAAATGCCACTTCTTGAATCCAAAACAAGTGAAAACAACTTTGACTAATGGCAGTATTCCACTTTCGGTAAAATGAGTGATAACCAATAAAATATGCTATACGTAGACCATATTGCCAAGCTGTGTTGGTGGCAGAAGACGAGAGCGAAGACGTGAATGGCAGCTAAGGCTGAGTAAACAGTCCTCCACTTCGAGTTCCTGCCTATCGTTTCCTCTCGCGACAGACTGGTGGAGGTGCTGGGTTGTACTGCAACGTCTTATGCCAGCTGGTCCTGAACCAGAAGCAACCACCGCCAGTGCACCAGGGTCTGCTGATATCTATCGAAGCAGCCGCCGCATTCAAGGACTACCACCACAGTACGGCCCCTTGGCAAGTTCCATGAGGACAATGTTTGCCACATCCACAACCCAAACCGAGCATGACCCACTCGCTAGCATACCCTGTGTCATCAACACGCCTCGCACACCCAACCCATTTTATGGTGATGCCGGTGAGGATGTCGAAGACAAGCTTGACCATTTCCACCGGGTCGCTGCCATCAATGACTGGGACAATCGCCGTAAGTTGAAGAACGTGTATATCTCCCTCTTAGACGCGGCAAGAGTGTGGTATGAGAACCACAAAACTTCATTCACAAGTTGGCAGGAATTGCATCGGCAGCTTCGTGAGGCGTTCAGTAAACCCGAACGGAAAGAGAGAGCGGAGCAGGCACTTTCTTCGCGATTTCAAATGCCGAACGAGAGCGCCGCCATGTTTGTCGAAGAAATGTCGCGATTGTTTCGACGGGCTGGCCCCCACATGCCAGAAGACAAGAAAGTGCGCCTGCTAATGCGAGGCATAAAGGAGCAACTTTTCGCGGGCCTTGTGCGCAACCCTCCTACGACTGTGTCCGAGTTTATACGTGAGGCCACAATTATGGAGCGCATGCTTCGGCAGCGGGTGTCGCAGTATGAGCGTCAGATAGCCATGTCTGCTGCGTGCTCGCTTGTACCAGGAGGTGATAACAGGGAGGTCCTCACAGAACTCATACGGCAAGTTGTACGCGAAGAACTTCGGAAATTTCATGCAGCGTCCCCTCCCAGTAGCGCTGCTCTTACGGACGTCGTTCGTAACGAAATCAGGCAGTTCGTTCACTCCTCACCACCATCGCAAGTCGAACCTCCCACGCTTTCCTACACGGATGCCCTATGCGCCTCTACGCCGTCGACGGCACATTTTGCTCATCAACCTACTGGGACCCGCACACCCTTTCTAAGTCCAGCCCATCGCCTGCCTTCTCAGGCCGATTTTCGTCCTGGCCCGCGGAAGTCCACCGTCTGGCGTGCACCCGACAATCGTTCTTTGTGCTACCATTGTGGCGAAGTTGGACACATGTATCGTGACTGTTACTGCCGACGAATAGGCCTACGCAGATTCCACCCAGATGCACATTGTCCACGCTATGGTGAGCGCCCACAAGAAATTGCGGATTACTTGGAAGGTAGACATCACGCTCCTGTCCCGCCGCGACGACAGTCACGGTCACCATCACCCCGTCCGTCCACATCAATGCACCGTGCCCTACCCGCCTTTAGGTCCCCAGGTGTCAGTGGCGCAAGCCCACGCCAGGGAAACTGAAAGCGGCGACCTCCGGAGGTGAGGCCGCTGTCACGCGAACCGACAAATACCCTACGCCGCTGCCTTACGACGTGCCGTTAAAGCCTGTTTGTGAAACCGCCAACAGAACGTCCGCTGCCATTACCGTTTCCGTCGACTGTTATCCGGTGACTGCGCTTGTCGACACGGGAGGTGATTACTCGGTGATGAGTGCTTCATTGGCCACCCGTCTACACAAGGTGCTGACAACGTGGGACGGCCCTCAACTAATCACCGCTGGAGGACACCTCGTATCCCCTATAGGAAGGTGCACCGCCACGCTTGAGATTTGTGCGTCGGCTTTTGTAGCATCATTCCTTGTACTGCCCAATTGTTCTTGGCCGGTCATTTTGGGCATAGATTTTCTGCAAGAGTATGGAGCGATAATTAATCTGCGTGATTTGTTCGTCAGTTTTGTTAACTGTGTTTCTCCAGATTCCGACATCGAGAACGAACATCGTGGCGTGGCCTTACGCGTAGTCGATGATTGCGTCACGTTGCCACCTCGCAGTAGTATCTTCGTGCTTGTTGAGTGTCCACGGGAGCAATCGATTACGGGCATCGCAGAAAGTAACCTTACGTTATTGCTTGATCGGGAAGTGGCCATTGCTCGAAGTCTTGTTCAACTGCGAAATGGCCAGACTACGGTTTTAGTTACGAACTTCGGTGGCGAACACAGGCATTTTGCGAAACGCACAACCATAGCTTACTTGGAGGCATTGGATGATTTGGACGCCTTCCCTTTGATTACAACGATCTCGACTGAGAACAGCTGCGATACTGACGTGACTAGTTGCCTCAACGTCAATCGCCAGTTGGAAGAACCTAAGAGGGCAAGGCTCCTCCATCTCCTCTCATCCTTTAGTGACTGTTTTGCTACTACTTCGAAAGTCCGGCAGACTCCTCTAATGAAGCACAGAATTATCGCTGAGCCCGACGTGCAACCCGTGCGCCAACATGCTTACCGCGTGTCGCAGAAGGAGCAAGATGCTATCCGTCATCAAGTGAAACAAATGCTCGACGACGACGTAATTCAACCATCGACTAGTTCTTCGGCGTCACCAGTTGTTCTGGTTAAAAAGAAAGATGGTTCATTACGATTCTGCGTCCACTACCGCAAACTGAACAAGATAACGAAAAAAGACGTATATCCTCTTCCTCGTACTGATGACTCCTTGGACCGCCTGCGACACGCCCGTTACTTCTCTTCCATGGATCTCCGTAGCGGATATTGGCAGATTGAAGTACATGAACGGGACCGAGAAAAAACAGCGTTTATTACACCGGACGGTCTCTATGAATTTAAAGTTCTCCCCTTTGGCCTGTGCTCCGCTCCAGCCACGTTCCAACGAATGATCGACACAGTTTTATGTGGCTTGAAGTGGTACTCTTGTTTAGTGTATTTAGACGACGTAGTCGTTTTTTCTACGACTTTTGAACAGCACATTGAGCGGCTTGAGGTGGTTTTTCTGGCTATTCGCACTGCCGGCCTCTCTCTGAAACCGGAAAAGTGTTATTTTGGATATGAGGAACTGAAATTCCTTGACCACATTGTCAGCAGCAGTGGTGTTCGCCACGATTCTGACAAGGCTATGGCAGTTGCTTTAATCCCGATACCGAAAACAAAGCATGATGTACGCCATGCTAACCATGCTAACAAGATTTTAAGCTGAAAACATGATTCCATGTGAGGGTGCAGTGAGAGCTCGTTAATTCGCACCTCATTCATTCAAACTTTTGGGTTAATTTCAACTGATGATCATGGTCTGGCTACGATATATAGGCGTCTATGAGCTAACCCTTTGGAGGATGACGGGACAAAACCGTCCCCCTTTTTACTCTCACGAAACTGCTGTCACAATTAAAATTGAACGAACTTAACGCCAAAGGAATGTGCTGCCATCAATTATCGGTCACTGCTAATGTTTTTTGCAGCACTTTCTATGCGGTTACATAGGTGGTGTTGTAGATCCAATGAATTTAAATTTGTCTTGTTTTGATTGCGGAGTTGAGAGTTTTTGCTCACATAGGACTAGATTTGCGACAGTTCACGATGAATGTAAGATTTTCTTTTTTTTGTCCTCCTTGGCAGATGTTTTCGCACGCTTCGGTGCCAATATTTTGGAAATTGGTGCATTTGGAGGCTAGATATACCGGTCTGTGCCAGCATACTTCAAAATTTTAGGGGAGTTTTGCTAGGTTTAATTGACACTAACTCTTTTTGTTCAGATATATTTCTCGATTTATTGATTTCAGTGGACTCCCTTTCACGTGAAGAGGCACTCGAGCTACTTTACAGCTTGTCCGACGAATCTGAAACAAGTGGCGACGAGGCAGAAAGCAGTGGAGATGAGTTCGTGCCGGAGCTCACGCCACCAGACTCGAGTCTCGATGAAGACTAAGATAAACCTTGGCCATCGAAAGGGAAACGAAAAAAAAAAAAAAAAAAAACGTCGACAAAGAACTTCGAAAAGAAAAAAAAGAGCCAACCAGGAAGTAATAAACAATGATGTTGAAGCAGCTGCTGTTGAAGAAATCAGTGAAGGGTGGAATCGAAATAAACCAAGCAATTCTTTCGGGAGTCCAAAATAATGAGACCCTGAGTTTATGAAAAAGGCGGTGCCACGTGCAGTAGATTGCTTCGCATTACATTTCGACGACGAGGTGATTGATAATATATTAGAGCACACTAACCGTGGTGGTGCTAAAAAGTACACAACGAAGTG